ATCTCCTGACTTGTGCCTGTCCACAACTTTATCCCGGAGATCTTTTGACTGCCTTGCCTCCCATAGTTGATTGTTTGCTTCAGTTGCACTACAAAGGACTGAAATGCTCAAGGAATGCTCTTTTCATGGCTAATCAAAATGACCACAGCTGATCACAGTTGAAAGTCAAATGGCTTTGTGTGCCATTGAGAAGGTGATTAGCTACACCTGATTGAGTTTACAGGTCATTTTTAGGAGGGGGTGATCCTTTTTCCAACTTTTGACATGTTGGTTTTATATCTTTCTCTGGAATGTTATAAGTTGCACTGAGTAAATACAGTTGGATAAAACAAAAACTGTGTCCGTCTTCATTTCAGGCTGCAAAGCAACAAAATGTGATTATTTTAAATATATATATCTATATATGTTTATATAGATATATATAGATAGATACATATATAGATATATAGATTAGGGTTGGGCCGACAGACAGTGCCATCGTCCATCGCCAATGGCTGACAGACATCACGATGTTAAGCTGACATTGTGATTCCTTCCCCCCACCCCCTCTCCCGCAATCTGGAGCATCCCAGTTCCATGTTCGGAAAGGAAATTAAGTGTACTACGGAAACCCTAAAGGGAATAAATAGCCTACGAGATGGGAGGATAAAAAAAATATTTCAATACTTTTTCTCGCAATTATATCGTTGGGTAAGTATAGGCAACTGTACAGATTGCGTGCTCTCATTTTACTTTCACTTTTGAGATTCGCAATCATAAGGACTCTATACTATGGTGCGGCATTACTTACCACACATTTGACAAGATTAGATGTTTGTCATTGGTGCTCAGGATCTGCAACTCATTCACCATCGTCCTATCAGACATTTCTCCTTACTCTGTGTATGTGGTAAGTGAACTTTCATGTACTGTAATGCAACAGGCTACCGCTAGCAAGCAGCTAACCTTTCAGTGGCTCCGTAGAACACGTTATTTGTTTCACGCTTCGGGCACACCACCAATCCCCCCACCCCCACCCGATGTCATCGTCCATCACTATGTTTCACTGTAGACATCGTCCGATGCCAATTTGGTAGACATCACCCAACCCTAATATAGATATATTCTCAATACATTTCAGGTCAAAGAAATAGATCCAGATTATGTTATGAATTTAGTTATTACCTATTTCCTTTCCTAATCCAGAGTTTTTGAGAGAACCTGCAGATGATACCACTGCGCAGGTCTTGAACGGGCCAATATCAGCAGTTATTTGGCGCGGAGGTAACTGAGAGGCCAAGGGCAACCGAGAAAATGGCTCCATATCTGGTGTTAAAGTTGCAATCTGAACCATCTCCTTGATTTGACAAAGAAGTTCAGGGCCACTGAGTTTAGAACGACGTGCTGCACTCTCAGGTCCAGGATAGCGAACTCCATATTTATTCATTGCCTAAAATAAAAACAAAAAAGACTATGATAGATAGATAGATCACATTTCATTTGTTGCAATTAACACTTGGTATTAGGTAGTGTTTTGTATTTTTACATGTGCAGTAGAGCTTCATCCTCAGAGGATTATGTAAAATTTTACACAATCCTCTGAGGATGAAGCTCACCTGCATATGTAACAATTACAAAACACTACCTAATACTAACTGAAGAGACTTCATGCCTTGGTGATCAGCAGTTGCAGTCCTTGAAGTTTGTTACTGTGTTTTCATGTTAAGGCTTTTAGATGTTTTTGAGTTTCCCTCACCTGAAAGTTCTGCACCACCTTCCTCAGCCTTTTCCCCAGCATGCTACTTGACATCTCTTCATTCCAGACCTCTCCGAGTGCTCCATTAGGCCCAAAAACAACAGCATCCCCACTTGCGGCACCCACATCTCCTCTCTGTCGGCCTCCAAAAATAGTCTCTAAAGCACGTCTCAGTGGTCGTGCCAGAAGCCAGTAAAATAGCCCATGGTCTCTTTGTTTGCCGCTGAGGTTGCGGTCCTTAGTATTGCTCTCCATTGAGTAGTTAGAAGACGACAGGATGGGAATAGGCTTTTGTGGATCTCCAGGAATGATACCTGGAAGCTTTTGAGGGTCAGTATACATGGGTTTCGACCCTCCTGTTCCCCGCAATACCTTCAATAGACCAGTGTCACTTTTAGTAAGGATGCGTTTTACATTTTTGACTATACAAGGTGTTGCTGGGTGTTACAGGGTGACAGCTCTTTCAATATTTATAACAAATCTATAAGTTGGAAAGTTTGATTTAAAATAGTTTACAAAAGCAAGAAAAAGTGAATTAGTAAGTAGATTAGTTTACCTGTTCAATTTATTATCCCCTAAAACCTCTGTAGCCCATTTAGCCACTTGTTAGCAACTGCCTTTTTAAAACACATGAAAGCTTAAAAACAATCACAAATAGCGTTTTGCTGATGTTTGTTGTAGAATAAAACATAAAAACTTGAGCTTGTCTTAACCACAGCTTGTCTTATCTCAGGGAATCAAGGTTGAGGTTACGCAAGTAACCGGATCATTCACTATCAAACGGTCTCTCCTGTTGCGTTAACACGCTATGGGGAATGCATCCAATAGCGCCGTGCTACGCAAATGCAGAATGCAGCCGCTCTGCGAGCCCAGTCCCGGAGCACTCTTACTGAGGACTCCTATAAGCATGAGCACATAATGAGACCCGAGCCGTTAGGCTGAGTACTACATAACTTGACCTTTTCCACTTGCAAAGGGAATTAGGTATACTTAAGTGGAAAAGATCCCTGCCTGTAGGGCAGGGACATCCAAGTTACAGAATCTGGCAAAGGTAGACAGCAATGACCAACCGGCGACTGCACAAATCTCACCAATAGAAATCCCACTGGACCAAGCCCAGGAGGAGGCCATTCCTCTGGTGGAGTGAGCCCTCACACCTGTAGGGCACTGCAAGCCTGCTGAGGCGTAAGCCAAGGCTATAGCATCCAGTATCCAGCAAATCTCTGCTTCGTGACCGGCAGAACATTTAGAGTGGCCTCCGAAGCATACAAAGAGCTGCTGTGAGTGTCTGAATGGGCCAGAGCGCTCAACATACACTCTAAGGCAGTGTTTCCCAACCGGGGTGCTGTGTAAAAAAATCATTTTTTAATATTTTTAAATTGCTAAATATGTCATATAAATTGGTCTTTTCATTAGAAATTAGCCTACTGATTACCACCATTGATGGACAATTGTTTTAATAATATTAAAAATATTTGTATGACGGTATATTCTGCAGTTCTTCCCTGCTGTACCGAATATCTATAATTTTCAAAGTATCATATCGAAGTTAGAAATTCAAATATTGTGACAAAATTAATTTTGTAGGGTGCCACAAATTAGTTACAATTTCCAAAGGGTGCCGCGACTAAAGAAAGGTTGGGAAACACTGCTCTAAGGGACTGAACTAGGCAGAGTGGGTTGGGACCCTGGTCACCGTCTGCAACCGGGAGTGCCAAAAGGGTGATAACTTGAGCTCTGAACGGAGTGGAGAGCACTTTCGGCACATAGCCATGTCTCAGTTTGAGGACGATTCTACAGTCGTTAGGCCCAAACTCAAGGCAGGAATCACTGACTGACAGTGCTTGAAAGTCAGCCACTAGCTTGACTGTCGCTAAAGCCAAAAGCAGGGTGGTCTTAAACAACATGGGCCACAGATCGGCCGGCTGGAGCCGCTCAAAGGGAGGGCCCCGTAGGGCTCTGAGGACTACAGATAAGTCACAAGTCGGCACTGTATGAGGGCAAGGAGGATTCAATCTCCACGCTCACCTCAGAAATGAAACGACCAAGTCGTTTCTACCGACTGATTGGCCAGTCACGAGAGAGTGATTCACCGTGTTGGCTGTCACATACACCTTGAGCGTGGAAGGGGTGCGCCCCTTATCCAGCAGCTCTTGTAGGAAAGTTAGCACATGGGACACATCACAAGAGGATGGGTCCTGGCTCCGTGCTATACAATAGTCAGAGAAGACTGCAACAGGCGAGTGCTGGGCCAATTGTGGGCCAGGGCATCTCACTGTCTCGAGAAATAAATTGGGCAGTGAGAGTTGTCTTCTGAGGTGAAGAGGTCCACCTCTGCCCTCCCGAAGACAGACCAAATCATTTGAACCGTTTGAGGATGTAGTCTCCATTCTCCTGGAGATGCATTGTCTCTGGACAGCATATCTGCCCCTTGGTTCAGTCTGCCCGGCACGCTCTTATTGAGAGGAGTTTGCCTTGAGCCCATAATAAGAGGCATCAAGCCAACCTGTAAACCTTGGTGATTGATGTAGGCTACCACCGTCGGGACGTGGTTCCCCTTTAAGGCTGGCAGGAAGGTTTTTAGGGCCAGAAAAAACTGCCATCATTTCAAGGCAGTTGATGTGCAAGCGCTGCTCCAGGTTTGACCTGGAGCCAAACGCCGGTCTGCCCTCGTACAGAGCTCCCCAACTCAAGTTGGAGGCATCTGTTGTGACCACCTTCCTTCTGGAGGTCAGTCCCATTTGGACGCCTGATTGAAACAGGCGAGACGTTTTGCAGGCGGCTGGGCGGATGGGGTCTTCTGGTGTCTTGAACCAGCCGCCGCACTGGAGTGCTTCGACAAGAAGTAATGCAGAGCCTGCAAGGTCTTCTGTGCCGCTGTACAACGCTCAGCAAACCCATCTAGGGCAGGGCCGAATAATCCCTTAGGCGAGACTGATGAGTCAAGGAAGGTGACCTTGTCAGCGTCCCTGATCTCAGATTTAGCCAAAGGTGGCTCTCCAGCACCACCAGATTGGACATTGCCGTGCCGATCGCCTGCGCTGTTGCCTTGGTAGAGCTCAGAGCCAGGTCAGTTGCTATGCGCAGTTCCTTAAAGGCGTCAGAATCCTGGCCAGACTCGTCCATGGAATGGAGACGTTTGGCCTGAAACACCTGGAGTACCACCATCGTATGCAGAGCTGAGCCAGCCTGGCCAGCCACTGCATAAGCCCTGCCAAGGCTGATGTAGTCCTGCAGGGCTTGGATGGATGCACTGCATGGACTTTCAACCCCAGGGCCGATTGAGGGCACAGATGAGCAGCGACCGCCTCTTCCAGAGTGGGGGAGCTTGCTATAGCCTCTTTCTGCGTCAACAGTGGTGAGAGCAGTGGAAGTAGAGGGATTAACACGGGCCAAGTACGGGGTGAAGCGTCTGGACCAATCAGACACACCATTTTTCATTTGATTGAACAAATCAATTATTAATTAGATTAACAAACATTCACAGACCCCTCACCCAATAAACATATTGGGTGCCAAGATGTCTGTGAATGAGGCCCAGGACCCTGGTTACCATCGCAACCATGACACCTTTGCTAGACCAGATAAACTTTACGACCTAATAGCATATTGAGAGTTCTCCCTCTCACTACATTTTCCATAGGAAATACACATAATACACAGCAAAATTGACTATTCTCTAATTAATTAATAGGAAAACCTTTCTGTGAATGAACACACATCTCCTCAGGACATTGTGTATACCATTACTGTTCTTGTATATTGTCTTTTGAATTGTTTACTCTTTTGTGTGTGTGTTATGATAGATCACTAGTTAATACAGCCCCACCGATACCATGTTTGGTCTCTTTGAATTTGTCTTCTGATGATCTAAATGAGCGTTTATATTATATGTGGGTACATAGGCAATATATTAGTGTTCTAAGAATCTTTAGTAATTTTGATTCGAGTTCCATATGCAAATTACCATGCTCTCACACAAAGGGTCATAAAACTCCCCAGTACTTCCAACCTCCCGCGTGGAATTTCAGCCTTTCTCATTGGACAAGCCCATCCTGAGAGGTGTGAATCTTCTCAGACCTTAAAAGGCTCACGCACAGTTCCGCCCACGTTTTTTTTGTTGTGTTGTTTTCTTCTGCTAAGTCTTCTGTTAAAACCTTCTGATCGTGGGCCGTGTAGCGAGCCTGAGCCGGTGCGGGCTTGCCCGGTGGGCTCCAACACATAGTCAGTCAGTCTATCGGACCATACCACCTGTCCAAAATCTTGTCTGCACGCGTTGCACATGAGACATACTGATGGTATCCTTTTAAAACATTGTCCAAATAGCACTGATTAAAATCACCTAGAATGAACTTGGGAGAGTCTGGAGATTTGGCGTCTAGTTTGTTCAAAGTTTTCATCAGCACATCTGAGGCTATGTCCAATTTTGCGCGAGGATGAATATACACAACAAGAAAGTAAAGTTGGGGAAACTCGCATGGTAGATAAAAAGGGCGAGCGGAGAGAACAAGCAATTCAATTTCGTTGAATTGTTTGTTTGTTTGTTTGTTAGACTAGTTTGTGTTAGTGTGATTGTAATTAATCATAATTAATTGTAATTATTTATATACATTTCCCTTTTGAGCTAATTTGCTACAGGGGTGCGCCACGTCCTGGTGAACTCTTCATGAACTGCCGGCAGGAACGGAGCAGACCAATGGCGGGAGGATCACTGATGGTGTCCCTTCATGTTCCACTCATCGAGAAGGCTGTGGGCAGGCTCTTCCGGAGCCGACCAAGCCAGGCCGAGATCCTCCACAGCCTTAGACAGAACGCGGATCAGCTCGCTGTCCATGCTTGATCATGTTGTTTGCGTCAGAGGCGGGGATTCGGGCTCTTCGCTGGAACACGCCCACTCTTCAACATCCGATGCTGTTAATGACATGGAGTCATCAGTGGCGATCTTCTCCTCAGACACGCCGAAGGATATCAGGCCACTCACAGCCAACAAGGGGCATTGATCCTCACGCGTGAAGCACTCCGGCGATTCGAGGTGATGAGGGGAGAGTGAAGCACCCATGTAAGTTCACTTGAGCCCAGTGAAAAGACCCTGCTGCTTTGCTGTTTCTTCCTCCTATGGGAGGGAGGAAACGGGAGAGCAGAGTGGGGAGGACCACCTTCATGGAAGAAGACGATCCGTGAGCATAGAAGGGCGAGACTCATGCTCTCGCAATGAAAGCATGCTGCCTCTGCGTGGGCACTGCCCAGACAGGCGACACACTCACTGTGCCCGTCTGCAGCATGCTGGGGTTACCTGCAACAAGCCACACTCGCGGCGTGACATTTGACAACGGCGTGACAACATCGCTGGAAATTTGCTATTTTAAGCACTGGATGGCCAAAGGGGAAGGCTTCTTGCTTCTTCCTCTGCCGGGGCTCCTTCTACGGCGGCGAGCAGCAGGCTGAGCAGAGCTCTTCTTCTTCTCTTCGCTTCTCAATCACAGAGTCAGCGAAGAGATGATCTCGTCGAAGAAGGAGAAAATTTCTGATGAAAAGGCACTCTGAGACAACTTATTTAGCAGTCGGCTCCTCCCCTTCTGGCAGGCTAGAGCACTATTGGTTTGTGCAGCTACACAAGCGTGAACAAATCAGGCTTTAGTAACGGAGTAAACAGGAGTTTCCCCATAGCGTGTTAACGCAACGGGAGAGACCGTTCGATAGGGAACCTTATTTTCGGGCTTTAGGACTCATTTCTACAGCACTCTAATGATCAAATTCAGTGGAGCAGAAGGTCGTGCGAGGAAAGGAATCTTGACATACCTTAACAATTGTGTGTGTTCTTGGCTGAGCTCGAGTTCTCGCCTTAACCCCAAAAATGGCATCTGTGACAGGTATGCTGTTTTCAGCGCAAAAGGTGTACAGGAGAGCCATAGCCATACAGAACAGTGCCATGCACAGGGCCCCTCGACGGGCCCGGCGTCTCAACCGCCAAAGTAGGCTAACACGATCCATGGCAGCCCCTGGGATCTGGATAATGAATCACAGACAATATTAGCAAATTAAAGGAAGCCCTCTGCAAAAGGAGTTTGCAGATACATAGAAGCATATGCATGGATTCAGTTGAATTGAAGACAGTAGAAAATAGTTTGAAATGGTCAAATATTTACTTTGAAGTCCTGTTAAGGTCAGGTTAGAAATTAAATTAGTATGAAGGAAAAAGCATGTTTAATACACTAGAGAATTTCTGTGTAATTGTAGTGGATTATATTGTAGGGTCCTTTTGATGTGATTTTGATATGTTAAACTGTTGGGTTAAATATGTAACATGCTTAATAAGTAACTTCGGTTGCCCTACATTTAAGCTAGCAGAGTTCAGTAATGCAGTTCAGCTGTCTGGAATATGTTTGAAATCTCTAGATTCTCTTTCAACCAAGAACTTAAAGGGAGCGGACAAATTAGTTTAATAAATTGTGGTAGTTCCATTGGGGTTAGCCTAAAAAAAGACCATTTAAAGTAATACTTTTACAAAAAAATAATATACCCTGATTAAAGGGAATATTTAAAAAAGTAGTTACACAGAACAAATTTTGTATTATTATTTTTTTAATGGCAGTAATCAAAACCTCATATATAAACATTGTGTGAAGAATGCTTAACAGTTAATGCCCACTGGTGCTCTTTAAGGGATATTCAGCTCAATGCAAATATGGTAGTCCATGGCATTCAAAGTAGGACATAAAATTTAAAAAGTCTATGAAATCATGGCTTTCAACCTTACAAAATGAAAACCACTACATAACATCTAAGAAGCTTTCATCGGGGTATAAAAGAGCATCACTGAGAGACTTATAAGGTGTAGCTAAATAATATCATGTGACAGTATCACAAGACATAACAATACCATCACAAAATGACAAAAACACCAAATTCAAAGTCAAGGAAAGGTTAAATATATAATGAAATCTGTTCAGTTTAATACATTTGTCTGTCCTTTAATAATAGTTCAAGCACAAAACCTTTTCATAACCCACTGGATAGATGGTATCACAAACATTATGAATTATGTATATATTCATTATGGTTAGTTACATAAGTAAGTGTATTTTCTAATGTGGCAGCTTGTAGCCTGTATTTTTGTAACATTTAATTCATTCAGGAGCAAGGGTTTGAAACATGCATCTTGCATTATTTGATTGAGATTTGACCAAACTGAGTTGAACGAAATGTTCTTGTATCATGTTACGATAATCTTGTGTTTTGAAACGGGCAATGCCAGAAATTTGTAAGTGGGTGGGCCTACATAAAACTAGGTGGGCAAAGTGTAGCGTATGAAAACCGCATGTCAAATTGCCAACAGAAAATACAGCACAAAGGGTTAATATACAATACTTCTAAAGCATCGATAAACATTCATTTTAATTGCAACATTTACTAATACATTATTAAAATTAAAAGTTGTATCTGTTAACATTTGTACTGACAAAAATAACAACGCTAACACTTTACAATTAGGTTCCATTAGTTAATGTTAGTTAATGTACTAACTAACATGAACAATGCATTTATTAATGTATTTATTAATCTTTGTTAATGTTAGTTAATGAAAATACAGTTGTTCATTGTTAATTCTTGTTAATTCACAGTACATTAACTAATGTTAACGAGCACAACTTTTGATGTTAATAATGCATTTGTAAATGTTGAAATTAACATTAACTAAGATTAATAAATGCTGTAGAAGTATTGTTCATGCTTAGTAGTTAACTAATGTTAACTAATGAACCTTATTGTAAAGTGTTACCATAACAACGAACAGTTGTATTTTTATTACGTTAACAAATATAATAGGCCTAAATATTAACGTTATAGCAAATGTATTGCTCATTGTTAATGTTAGTTAATGCATTAACTAATGTTAACTAAAGGAAGTTTATTGTAAAGCATTACCTCAGTCTGAGACAACGGGGCTCTGCAGTTGATTTCTTAATTAAATGTCTCTGTCAATTCACGCACATCGAGGACCACAGTGCACGGCTGCAAATTATGCAGTTTGTTGTGGCGAACAGGATCTAGCACGTTTATGTGTTTCTTTCCTCAAAGGACGGATCTATTTAGCGAATCAAACACTACTGATGCTAATGATGCTTAAAACACGCTTGGCTCAGAAGTTTCTGATATAAATTCATCACTCGCTGGTGGTCAGGCTTCATTTAAGTTTGACGATTCGGATTCAGTGCTAAGACTTAGTTTCAATTGGGATATTCAGTATATAGGCCTATTTATTAAAGAATTTATATTTGTTTCGCTATTTTCAAATTCAACTCCACAAATGTGCGATTTGGAATTGTAAGAATTTTGTACTAAGAAATTTTAACTTGTGAAAATAGTACCAAAGCA